GAAGCTGCATATCAACTCTACCAGAACTCGCTGAAAAGCAAATAAACAGACCAGTATGGTATTAAGTCGGTAAGATATTAAGCTGAATACCAAAGGCAAGAGAGTTGAGATAAAGACCATTGACATAACACAATTAATTATTGAGAAAAACATTTCCCAAATATTTTATGTTGTTTAGCAAACGAAGTAGACGATTTTAAAAAATTAACTAAGGCTACAGACAATGATCACGCTTGAGCAAACATGATAAAAAAGTGCAGCAGTCACGCATGCATACCTCCAATTTTTTCTGTAGCCTATCATGGCCCTTGAGGAGAAAATGCACAGGAATATAGCACGACACGAATATTATCCATCCTATTGTCAAAACAATTGCCCTGTATTACAGCTAAAACATATCAGACTAGGAATCTTGAAATACAGAAATAATTTTACATTATGGCACTCAAAATTCAGACCCCCAAGTGCTAAGAGATTAAATGGTTAAACCAATATATGGATAAACAGTTCAAATATATATATTGATTAATAAACCTGCTTTGAAAATGAAGCCATTAGGCAATATAAGATTAGGCAAGTGGTATGCATGACATACAAAGATCATTTTTTGGCATTATTCAGTTGAGAATGTATCATTTAAGTTTGAGTAATGACATACAAGTATGTAGGAAGAGCCTCAGTAATATTACCCACATCATAAGACGTTTACTAGTAAGGAATGGCGTGTTCGAAAAAGAATACAATTGACTGAATCTGAAATGGGGGAAAGAAAAAAGCCAACCTTAATGGGAAAAGAAGTCCATATCTGACTACAACACCCAAACACCACAGAGGAAATAAATAGATATTCCAGTTCCAAGGTTCGGGAGGATTAGACTTGAAGCATCTGGTAAAAGAATCCTGCAGAAGGATAAGTACATATTGAATCCAAACACTAACCGCGAAGCAACAAAGCTGATTAAAATAGAAGAATGGTAAACGTCTGGAGAAAATATAAAATAAGGATAAGGAACAAAAAAACTGATACGGCGAATTAAAAATTAAAGCCAAAACTAGGAAGAGATGGGTAGTCACATCAACAATAGCACCAGCGGCCTCAGTCAAAGTAGGCGAAATGTCCAGTAAATCTCGACTGAAAGATGATTCATCAAGAAGAAAGTTAGGAACATGATAAACAGCCAGTATCTACTCGTGGAAAGGGGAGAGACATACAGGCAAAGCTTGCCGAGAGGCTCATGGATAGATCCAGTGGGGAGATAGTCTTCCAGATTGGGTCGATCCAACTCCAATTCCGACCTCGACGTCGCCAGAACCGCACTCATGCTACACTCGTTCCCAAACCTTATTACGATTTAGTATTGAATGACATGTATTCTTCCACCCCCAAAGATTGGATTCGAATACGCAGAGCTCCTCCAGTGACAGCTACTTCAATCACCAGGCGGTGTTGGAGTTATAATCTCCAGTCCCTTGCATTGGAAGGTCTGGCCCAGCGACTTCAAATCCCCTTCCACCGCATCTATCTTCTCGCGCAGTTTTGCAGCTTCCTTCCCAATCGGATAACCTGATCGATTAGTTAATGCTAGACTAAACTTCTGCACCGTAAAGACCCGAGAATTCTCCTGATCTGATGGTTTTGGTACACTCACATGCCGCCTGTCGCTATCAGACTGTCAAGTTTCAAATTCTCACAAACGACCAAGCGGGCAGCAGGCAAGCAGGAAGGTCCATGCGTCCAGGCGGTCCAGCTTTCTAAAAAAAGTTAATATTATGGTGTTTTTAATGCATAACAATAAGACATGTTTTACCAAAAAAAACAATAACACATGCTCACTAGGTATTTTTAATTCCTGAAATAATGGTAATTAAATAAATAATTACCAAAATATTGTTTGATTAAAAATAATTCATAAAATACTACTAGAGTTAATCATAGTTAAGGAAAATCGTCACTTGAAGTGACGATTCTTCTGTCCATTACAAAAGTCGTTAGTCCAAGTGACGACTCTTGACTCAATACAACCACATCATATTCAACGTAAAAAAAGCCAAAAACCTGATCTTTATAGTCTAGTTAACTCAAAACAATCTCACAACTGCTCTTTATAGTAATATATGTTGCTAAAAAAAACATACCCGAGACACAAAACGAATCAATGGAACTACATTGAATCATAGGGCTAAAACGATAAATCGGTAAACTATCATGTACCTATCTTGTACCGTTAAATTATTTTACAAGCTATTTCCTATGAGAAAACTGTTCTTGATAGGGCTGAAACTTACCCTCTTTCCAAAAATGAGTCTACCTAGGTTATATTTCTCAAGCAGAACGTATATGGTCCTTAATTTGTAAAACGTAATGATCATCATCTTCATAATTACTCCAGTGCCGCAAAGGCTCCCACCTACGGTGGGGTAAGAGGGGGTCGATTGTACGCAACCTTGTTTTAAAGCACAACATAGATTGTTTCTGGATGACCCATGGTGATAATCGTGTCGAAAATTGCATTGACTGACTGTTAATCCATAATAAAGAAGCACAAACAGTTTAGTCAGTTTAATGAGTCATTAGTGTTTATGGTTTATCCATCCTTCTTGGACTCAGTTAGCATTTCTAATGTTTTGCCAGCCCTCCTATTAGGGTTTAGTGGTGGTTGCCTGGTTAGTGGAGGTCCGCGACTTGCAGACTTTCCAGCAGTAACTGGAGGTCCGACGGCGGCAGTGGCTAAAGATCAGTTCTCCAGCAGTAAGGAGATGAAATGCAGCCTGCCGGAGGATCGTTCACCGGAGTACAGTAGCATGTCCGCCGGGCAACACATTAGTTGAAGTGTACTGCTATGCCATGATTACTGTTGTCTGCCGTTTCCATCACGGAGACGCCAGGAGCATTATTGGCCGTTGCCGGAACGCCGTGGGGGATAGCTGGACTGCTTCCAATTTTAATTTTAAAAATATATGGTTACACAATGGTGATTATATATGGGATGTTGACATCATGCATTGGACGTAATTTTTGGATTTCAATGTATACATATATCACTTCAAGATGAGGTGGATGACAATTCCATTTATTAATTGCCATGTGTCAAGATTTTTATCATGTTAACGGTATAGCATTGATGATGCTCTAAAGATTAAGACACATAATGAGAACCCAATCACCTGCCACACATTTACAAATTATAAGTTATAACAACATGTATGACTTTACTTGAAAGGAAAGAATAAACATATTGGACTGTCAAAGTGACCACAGAAAGAAATGGGAGGTTCTTTAACATCAATATCAGTAGACAAACTTCCATTCCATTCTGGAAGCAAGAAAGTGTTATATGGTGAGGAAAAAACAAATGCATAAGATACTTTTTCATTCTTATATTGGTGCACCCATATATTATAGAAAAGATGAATTTCACACACTGGTTCATAGTGAAAACTTTCAAGAATTAAACTCTAAGTATGAATGATAGCATAGGTCAAGTATAAAATGTAACACACAGTGATAGCCGCAATAAGGGCTTCCATTCCTAATAAGATGGTTTCAACGTGTTAAAGTGACAAACTTTTGTGGTACCCGAATCAGGCTTTATAATTGAAAACCTGTGAAAGGAGAATACTGGAATCAGAAAACAGAATATATACATATATACTTTGTCTAGATTGCAAGTCCGAAATGCAATACCACCAAGACACCAGAACACAATCAAAGTACATGGATTGCCAAGACTCATGTATAGAAAATAACACAACTGGCAAAAGCAGAAAGTACTCCAACCCGAGGTACTTTTACACCTAGATGTCCTCTAGATCTTATTGCTTTCCAGCATCCACAATCTCAAATTCCTAGGCCATTCTAACTAAACACATGGGGTTCTATGGGTAAATTAAGCCAAACGTTTTTTAAAGTTTAAGAGGAATTACATATTGAACATTTGAATAATTTAGAGATAGTACTAATTTTATTTTAGATGAGGTGGGACTTTAATTCTTATGTCATTATGATGGATACAACCCACCCCACCATTGATGTGATGTTTCTTCTTTTTGTTGTACTCTAGTATACTCCATACATTGACAAACGAAACCTACAAATATTGCTACATGGAAGAGATAATTCATACCCAACATGTGACAAAACAATTTTAACCCTCTTGTTGTGAAAAAAATGCCAAAATATATTAATTTGACCAATAGTTTAGAGTTATAACCAGCCAAAAACTCAAGATACGCCAACTATCTTCTAACAAACTCCATTTGGCCTCAAAAAATTCGTACGATTAAACTTTCAGACGGCCACCACCAAAGAAACAACATGAATCGCTGACCACCAAAAGAGCATAGTAGAGTTCTTTTTGACCATTAAGATCATTGTATTCTTCATCATTTTAACAAACTCAAAATTGCTAAAGAGTTCCCTCAGTCTCTGACCAAACATAGAAAATTTTTATCCCTTTTTTGAGTCGGAAACTTCACCCAATTTTTTTCTTTTTTTGGTAATTTTTTTCTTCTAATTTTTGGTATTTTTTGTTTTCTACTAATTGCAACGAAGCAGTCAAGCGTTTACTAACGTTCCAGTTTGACCATTAATAACTTTCTTTTCTTATTACTAAAAAATTAAAAAAAAAATCATATTATGAAAATTTATAACGAAAAAATTTTACAATAATTTTCGGAAATTTAATTTATAATATATTAGGAAATACATGTGGTCAAGGACTCAAGATAGAGTATGTTAATAGAAATTATCAATATTACAACTAAAAAAGAACAGAAGTACGGAGTACTATATACTACCTCCGTTCTTAAATAAATGTAACATATGAAAATTTACACTATTAATATGTTCTACTTTGACTACGTTTTATTTATTAATGTATTAATAATTTTTTATGAAAAAAATATTGTTAAATTTGTCTCATTGTAAATTTTTAAAATCTAATTTTTTTAATTTTTTTATTAATACAAAATTATATATATTAATGGTCAAAGTTGTGTCTCAGCAAGTGTGAAATGTTAACCGTTGCATTTATTTAAGAACGGAGGAACTAGATAGATAGGGCACTATGCCCTCTCGAGACTAGGGCAGCTATCTAAATGACTTAAGGTTATGTTTGGCTAAAGTACAAGAAGACCTTCTCTCATTTGGGTGGGTAGTATAAAAACGTTCGACGCAAGAAATGGCTACCAAACGCAGCTTTAACCAAACAATGTCATCTTCAAGGTTCAATTTCATCGACTAACTGGTCCCATTCCTTGGCCTCCTTGATTCTTTCCATTACTCCTTCAACCGCCACATCAAACGCATCTTTCACATTCTTCAGTCCTCTTCCCGTCCTTGCGTACATCAATTTCGGCATCGTCTCCACCACTTTCTCCCTCATTTTCCCGATCTCCTCTCTGCTATACTTCTCAAGGATTCCTCTGATGGATGCCGACCCGTTCCTCACTGCATTGGGATCTATGAAGACAGAGTAGCTCTCTGGATCCTCCGGTAAGAACCACCGGTACTGTTCGTGAGCCGTCTCCCGCCAGAAAAACACCGGAATCGAACCGGAGATCATACAATCGAACACCGACCGCCGCGTTTTGCTGTCCCCTGCGGGTTGGAGGCAGAAATCGGAGCTCAGGAAGGCGTCCTGGATTGCGTAAGGGTAGACGTAGCACTGAGTCACCGCGCAATCGACGATTCGGCTCACGTCGGACTCGTTCCGGCAGTACTGCATCAGGAGGTTTCTGAAGTCTCCCTTGACGTTGTCGCGCGCGGCTCCGATGAAGGAGAACAGGCTGGTGCGGTTGCGCGTGACCACGTACCGCTGCCACTGGCGGAGCTGGGATTCGGTGCTCGGGTGGAATCCGGTGGGGTAAGGCACGCTGACGTCGTATGTGTCCCACGCGGCCGATTCGTGAGTGAAGCGCGTGACGTTCTCCATCTCCGGCAGGTTGAGGAGGGCGGATCCCCATTTCTTCATGGCATCCCCTAATCGCCGGAAGTCCCACGTGATCCGTCCGATCGTGAGGAAATGATCTGATCCTTTGGATTTCTGCCAGTAGGTTTGATTCTGGACCCACTTGAGCATCATATAACAATGCCAATCACGCTTTTCGATATCATCGCTCAACAAATACTTCCCAACCGCGAGTCCAGCATAGAAAGGGATGTAGAACGCCGTGGCCGATTCCGGCTCCATCGTTCTACACCGGTAGTTCAGGAGCCGGTGGTGATAAATCACATCCGCCGAGAACTGATTCGTCTGGTACCACGCCGTCGCGACATTTTTCGGTAAGATTCCGGTCAACTCCCTCTTCCTCTTTCCGTATCCGCCGTTGATATTGCCAATCCCACACTGCCAATCCCACGGTTCCAGATCCGTGCAATTCTTCAAAATTAAGTCCCTGTTAAGCATGGGTGGCAGGTCGTAGACGTAAACCCTACCATGCTCACAGTCATCGACATTCGGCGGCTGAGATGCGGTGTCTCCGACGCGTGCGGTGGCCGGAATAGGGACTGTCTGGGTGGGGGAAAGGGGCTGAGCATGAGGATGAGCGTCCGACGAGAGCGGTGAATTCCGGCTATAGAAAACGACGATAACTTGGATGAAGAGAAAGGTGGAGAATAGCCAGAAACAAGGGTTCCGTGAGATTTGGGAATGGAAGTTGAAGTTTTTGGGTTTTTGCGTGGTTTGAAGATCCGAGGAAGAATGGGAAAGCATTTTTAGGATCCTCCGAGTTTAATCGATTCCAAAAAATGGAAAAAGATTACGGACGAGCGAGAAGGAAATGAAGAAGATTACCAAGCACAATAGAAAAGTTATTCATTTCTGGGTCAATTCGAGATTGCCGCCTCCGACAGGAGTTCTACTTTTCTCCCTTTCCGTCATTCTTTCCATCATTCTAGCGCGCAATGTCGATACGGAATATCACACAAGACTTTCTGTACGTAACCAGTTAACTTTAGCTTTCACTTTAGGGGAGAACTATGGTACCTTTGAAAAATATGCGGGTACAGTACCTGAACAAATGGATGAATAATGTGGTGCCATGTGGTCTCCATTTACACGTAAGGTACATGTTTATATTTCTCTTAATTTGCTTATTAGCCCCTGGAATATTTTATAATTTCTTTGTATTGATTTAACGTCTAACCCTCCGTTACGTTTATCTCTATCACATTTCCGTCTGCCGTAGAAGCCAAGAAGGCACATCCGACATCCCCAAGCCGCTTCACCACCAAACCCGTAGAAGCCACATCGGCAATAGTAGGCTGCAAATGTCTCTTGAATTGATATTTCTCGTTTAGAATGGTAGTTTCATGGGCGGGTGGAGCAACTTCATTATCCATTCCGGCTTCATTCGACCGACTAGGGCATGTGAGGTGATAAGTCCGTATTTAGACACGCATTTGATGCGTGTCCGGGTTGGATTTTGATGATTTTCCTAGCTTTAAGGCGTTGCAAGTCTCAATTTTGGCTCAAGTTGTGTTTAGCAGGCGTTGGATCGAGTTTCATTGCATTTGGAGTTGATTTGAAGAAGTTAGAGTCCGGCAATCGGCGCTTGAGAAGCAATCGGGCAGAGTTTGGAAGCATTCGAAGAAGATTTGAGAGATTTGGAGGCCACCGGGAGATTCACGATGATGTTTTGATGAAGAAAGAGCTATTGGATCGATCGAGTAGTCAAACGGAGGCTTAAAACGGAAGAAATCGAAGAAAATGAAGAAGAAAGGCCACGCACGGCCGTGCGTACAGGGACGCACGGCGTGCGTGCGTGGCAGTAGCGGCCAAGGAAAGTAATGAGCAACGCACGGCCGTGCGTCCGGGTACGCACGCCGTGCGTTCAAGGCGATAAAACGACGAAAGGCTACTGGCAGCAACGCACGGCCGTGCGTCCGGGTACGCACTCCGTGCGTTCAAGGCATTAAAATGGCGAAAGGCTACTGGCAGCTACGCACGGACGTGCGTAGGGGAACGCACTCCGTGCGTTGCCTATTTTCACGCGCAGGTCCGTCGGACGCACGGCAGCAACGCACGCCGTGCGTAGGCTCCGTGCGTACCGCGGATCTGTCCTTTTTCGACCCAAACTCATTGTTTTCTATAAATTAAGCCTCCCTAACCCCGTTTTGAGGGGGGGGAAACCTAGAGAGAAGCTTAGGGACGTGTTTTACAGTGTTTTTCCGCTATTTTGTTCAAGACCCTGAGATTCTTTGTAAGTTTCATCTTTTTAATTAATGACAATTATTTCTATTCATCCCAATTCTATTGATTCTTCAATTATGAATTGTGAGTAGTTTAATTAGGGATTTGGGGTTGATGAAGGGGTTAATCATGATGTATGGCTAGATTCTTGTCGGTCTAATTGCATGAATGCCGTTTAATTTGTGTTTGAATAATTTAACTGATATCTCTTGTAACCTAGATGGCCACTAGAATTACAATTGCATGTAGAATAAATTAAGAGAGATCTAATTTGTTCTAGGACACATTCACACACACTTAATCGTTCGCTAAGAGATTAGTAGCGATTAAGGGGCCGTAAGCTCGCTCGTCTTGGCAATAATTTAGGATCCTGTCGCATGAAAGATCAGCCTGGTCCCCTAAATTATTGTACTCTACGCCGCGAGAGCGGTAAGAACTTAGTAATGATTAGCTAGGCTCAATTAAATTAATTTCATGTAATTAGGCCTGATCTGCCAGAAATCTGGTTACCCCGGAATCGATCCCTGTTCCCTTTGTCATTAATTAGAAAGAACCCCTTAGGTTAATTGTTCACATTAGTTTAATTTAATTTTTATTCAATCAATCAATCTCGCACACTTGCATTTTATTTTATTTTATTTTTATTCGCTGAATTTAGTTAATCTTTAATTCCCTTTTGTCCGTCCCTGTGGAGACGATACTCGTACTTTCACCCACTTTACTACATCATTTTTAAGTGCGAGAAAACTCACATCAGTTTTTGGCGCCGTTGCCGGGGACGGTGTCGGTTTTAAGGGTTAATTAATTTCAGTGAGATTTTTTTTTAGTTAGTTTTCTTTTAGTTTTTCCGTAGGATTTTTCTGTGCTAACCTTTCAGGTATTTTTTCTAAGAGGCATGAGATGAACCTATTCAGCCAAATTCCTGGAGGAATTCCTTACCCTCAAACCTCCATGGAATATTCAACATATACACCATACCCTCCTTACACTCCTCCTCCTCCTCCTCCTCAATATTACACATCTCATCAAAATTCTTCTCCTACACCACAAAATTTCCCATCTTCCTATTCTTACCCTCTTCCAAATACGCAATACTCTCAATCTCATTCTCCGAATCAATATCCTTATCCACAATATCCTCGGACAAAACCAGGCTCCATTATGGAATTTCTCATTCAAACTAAAAGTCCCGAGGAATTGGTTGATTACTTTCCTAAGAATAGCATTTGTAACTTTTGTGGAGGTGGTCACCATTCATGTCTTTGCCCCATTCCTCCATACGACCATCCTTACTGGGCAACTGCATACCCCACTTCGTCCTCCCCACAACTCACAAAGACAAATGTTTCAATCACTCCTACGTCTTTGCCGAGCTATGCGCCACAGGAATCAGACGACGAATGGGAAGAGATAATTTCAGAGAAGCTGTCTGACCTGGAAGAAACACTCAAGAAATTATTACAGCAACAAATGCAAATTCAACAGCAACAAATCCAAATTCAACAGCAAGCAGACTCAAGGATGCAAAACATGGAGAATCAATTGGGGCAGATTGCAAAGGCTTTATCTGAGGAGTCCGATAGATCCCATCCTAGCGACACAGAAGCCCAACCCGAGGAGACCAATATGGATGATCACGTGAGCGAGTCAGACTATGATGGTGTGAATATGATGGATGATACACTTCCTGATGTTTTTGAAGACCCTGATGAGAACGGTGTTAACGAGAGTTGGGATGCCTTCATGGGGAGTGATACAGAGTCTGGAGGAGAGGTTGTGAATGTTCATGATATTTGTGAGGAAGAAGAAGACTTTTGTATGGTGCAATTTGATTACGGTGTTGCTCCTACTCCTTGCTTTGAGACATCTTTTGAGCTTCCGGTGATACCTAGAGTAATCAAAGTGTTCACTCATGTTTTCTGTCCAACTGAAGAGGATGAGAGTTTCATACTTCACTTCTGTGCTGATGAGGGTTATGAAGACCATGTGCTGCCTTCGTGGGCTGACGAATTTAAAGATCTGCGCCACTTAATGACATTTGTTGAGAGGAAGCTGGAGACGTTGACTATAAGTGCACCACTACAGTCTTTGCTATTGGAGAGTCTATGGGGTAGTTGTGTCGGGCAAACGACGTTAAAAATAACGCTTCTCGGGAGGCAACCCGAGCTTTTTTTTCTGCTTTTGTTTTTGCTTTGTTTGTTGTTTGGTTGTTTTGCTTTGTGTTTTTGTTGCAGCTCAGGGTCTTGTTATTTGGGTGATGTGCCAAGGATTACATTGACTCAGTTTAGTTCTGCATCGACCAGCGCCATAGGGAAGTTTCTTTGACTCTTTTACTCGCTTGTTGTAATAATGACTTGAGTTAAGTTGAGCACGTGTGACCCTTTCCTCTTTACCCCTTGTACATAATGCATATTTGGTCATCGAGGACGATGCCAAAGTTTAAGTGTGGGGGAGTGAATTGGGCATTCGGGCAGTGGTTGTTACATGAGATTTATTAGAGTTAGCATGCGCAGGTGTTAGTTGTATATTCATAGGAAATTCATGCAAAATTTTTGAAATTTTTTCTTTAAACTGTGTCTTTGTGAGCTGGCTAGCATTTTGACTATACTTTTAGAGCAACCTTGAAGTGTTTAGGCTTAAATTGCTTGCACTATAATCTAGTTGTTGAAAGGATGAAGGCATTAGTCACCCATTGAATTAATCCATAAATCATCCACCCCACCTGAAAAAGTCCTTTAGGAAAAGCCATTTTGAGCCGACCATTCTTTGTTTACCCAATTAATTTAGCTCCATAGCCAAATGGCCTGTGTTCCTTACCCGTGAATATTTCTGACTTAGTCTTGATGTTTAGGGAATTAAGGGATTAATTTGCCAAGTTTAGGGAATTTTGTGTAGGAGCCATTTTTGGCACTGTTCCTATGCCCCAAATGGGGTAAGAGCAGTCACTTTTTAGGAATTTGATACTTTCGAGGATTGCATTGTAGGCATGGATTCACTTTTAAATTAATGAACTTAAAATTGCTATTTTTCCTTGGTGAGGCCGAGATTAGAATGGGGTAATGTCTAGTGAGAATCTGAAAGATGAAAAATTAATATAGCTAGACCTCTTGCCTTACGAAAAAGAGAATGGGAGCCCCGGTCAAAAAGCGTAAGATGAGACTTGGGTATCTTTCGAAAGAAACGGCGTTCTCGTGCCAACATGACAAGGGAAACTGAATTTAATTAATAAACTTGGAGGCTATCTCAAAATTTAGTTTTAGTCCTCCGCGTACTTCAAGTATACGTCAAAGCACAAATGTGCCGAGACGGTTTAGCTTAGTTGTACACCATGTCTACTCTTTGCATAGGTTTAAATGATTGTTCCTAATTTGTGGCCTACTGAGTTCCTTGTTCCTAGGAATAGCCCTGAAGTTCCTGAATGCATTGAGTCTTTGTTAGAATATTCCGATCTCTCAAAATAAATGGACTATCATTATTATCCATTCACCATCACATTCACAAATCCTTCTGATCAGTAGCTAGCATATTTGTGTAGGCTGTCATTACTTTGAGGATGTTGTGAATAATTGTGTCAAATAGTTTAGCTTGAGTATAAAGGTGTAGTTTAGGGAAGAATTTTCTTGGTTTAGATTGGCTGTCCTGTGAATATCACTTTAACTATGTGTGTATGCTAACTATTTGAAATTTCGTGTGGTGATTATCGTAAGTCCCGTGGTTCGATTTGCTTGAGGACAAGCAAAAGCTTAAGTGTGGGGGAGTCTGATAAGTCCGTATTTAGACACGCATTTGATGCGTGTCCGGGTTGGATTTTGATGATTTTCCTAGCTTTAAGGCGTTGCAAGTCTCAATTTTGGCTCAAGTTGTGTTTAGCAGGCGTTGGATCGAGTTTCATTGCATTTGGAGTTGATTTGAAGAAGTTAGAGTCCGGCAATCGGCGCTTGAGAAGCAATCGGGCAGAGTTTGGAAGCATTCGAAGAAGATTTGAGAGATTTGGAGGCCACCGGGAGATTCACGATGATGTTTTGATGAAGAAAGAGCTATTGGATCGATCGAGTAGTCAAACAGAGGCTTAAAACGGAAGAAATCGAAGAAAATGAAGAAGAAAGGCCACGCACGGCCGTGCGTACAGGGACGCACGGCGTGCGTGCGTGGCAGTAGCGGCCAAGGAAAGTAATGAGCAACGCACGGCCGTGCGTCCGGGTACGCACGCCGTGCGTTCAAGGCGATAAAACGACGAAAGGCTACTGGCAGCAACGCACGGCCGTGCGTCCGGGTACGCACTCCGTGCGTTCAAGGCATTAAAATGGCGAAAGGCTACTGGCAGCTACGCACGGACGTGCGTAGGGGAACGCACTCCGTGCGTTGCCTATTTTCACGCGCAGGTCCGTCGGACGCACGGCAGCAACGCACGCCGTGCGTAGGCTCCGTGCGTACCGCGGATCTGTCCTTTTTCGACCCAAACTCATTGTTTTCTATAAATTAAGCCTCCCTAACCCCGTTTTGAGGGGGGGAAACCTAGAGAGAAGCTTAGGGACGTGTTTTACAGTGTTTTTCCGCTATTTTGTTCAAGACCCTGAAATTCTTTGTGAGTTTCATCTTTTTAATTAATGACAATTATTTCTATTCATCCCAATTCTATTGATTCTTCAATTATGAATTGTGAGTAGTTTAATTAGGGATTTGGGGTTGATGAAGGGGTTAATCATGATGTATGGCTAGATTCTTGTCGGTCTAATTGCATGAATGCCGTTTAATTTGTGTTTGAATAATTTAACTGATATCTCTTGTAACCTAGATGGCCACTAGAATTACAATTGCATGTAGAATAAATTAAGAGAGATCTAATTTGTTCTAGGACACATTCACACACACTTAATCGTTCGCTAAGAGATTAGTAGCGATTAAGGGGCCGTAAGCTCGCTCGTCTTGGCAATAATTTAGGATCCTGTCGCATGAGAGATCAGCCTGGTCCCCTAAATTATTGTACTCTACGCCGCGAGAGCGGTAAGAACTTAGTAATGATTAGCTAGGCTCAATTAAATTAATTTCATGTAATTAGGCCTGATCTGCCAGAAATCTGGTTACCCCGGAATCGATCCCTGTTCCCTTTGTCATTAATTAGAAAGAACCCCCTAGGTTAATTGTTCACATTAGTTTAATTTAATTTTTATTCAATCAATCAATCTCGCACACTTGCATTTTATTTTATTTTATTTTTATTCGCTGAATTTAGTTAATCTTTAATTCCCTTTTGTCCGTCCCTGTGGAGACGATACTCGTACTTTCACCCACTTTACTACATCATTTTTAAGTGCGAGAAAACTCACATCATGAGGCTTCAGATTTCCAATCGGAATTGAGTTTCAATTAAGGTATGAAAATGAATTTGTAACTGTGAGATGGAACTAAATCATACCTACCTTCAACAATTAATCCTAATATCTATTTAATCCTACTTTTCCACTTTATCAGTCAGGGAAGTTTCTTTTATGCCTTGTATATTTCATGCATTTGTACGTATGAAGCTGTAAAGGGAAGATCTATGTGGTGGCTGAATCTAGGTTATATGTGCTTCCTTTAGAAAAAGAAAAAATAGAACTACTAATGGTTCTGTTAACGGTACACACAACTCAAATCCAAAGTCCAAGCCTTCTAGTGGTAAATCAAAGAGTATAGACACATATGATATCTTGGACAAGATCTCTGGGTTTTCACTTGTTGGAAAGAAGTGAGAATTTATCCTTATTTTTAATTACATTTCACGATTATTGGTCACTTTTATTCATGTCCTTAATGGCAAGCATGTAACTAGGGTTCCCTGAGATTTGGGATTGGAAGTTGAAGGTTTTGGGTTTTTGTGTGGTTTGAAGATCCGAGGAAGAATGGGAAAGCATTTCTAGGATCCTCTGAGTTTAATCGATTCCAAAAATGGAAAAAGATTACAGACGAGCGAGAAGGAAATGAAGGAGAATACCAAGCACAATAGAAAATTTATTCAAAATCTGGGTCAATTCGAGATTGCGGCCTCCGACAGGAGTTCTACTTTCCTCCCTTTCCGTCATTCTTTCCTTCATTCTAGCGTGCAAATTATATCGTGCAACCGGCGCACCATGAGGATGGTGCGCCCGGTTGCAAAACGACGGAGTATTGAGGCCTGGTTTCCTGATTTTTTATCCTTTTGTTTTTAAAAAATGGTAATAACTTTTTTATTTTTGATCCGATTTTTATAAAATTTATATCAACATTTTTTATTTTTCATGATCTTTCAAATGAGACCAATATTGCCTATGTAATTTTAAGAAATTATCGAACTATTATATTAATGTGTATTGGATTATAAGGAAAACCAAACTAAATTTAATACATAAAAATAATTGTGTAAATCACAAATTATCTTAAAATTGTTTATATAAAAAATTTATTGTATTAGGTATTTATACATGTGAGTTACATATTTTTATATGTGAAGTTACATATTTTACACGTAAAGTTACATATTTCTACACGCGAGTTACATATATATACACACGAGTTGCATTTGACTTGCCTGAACGCGAGTTACATATATTTACACGTAGAGTTACATATTTTTACACGTAAAGTTACATATTTATACACGCGAGTTACATATTTATACACACGAGTTGCATTTGACCTGTCTGAACGCGAGTTACATATTTTTTTAAGTAAAGTTACATATTTTTACACGTAGAGTTACATATTTACACACACGAGTTGCATTTGGCCTGACTGGACGTGAGTTACATATTTCTACACGCAAAATTACATATTTTACATACGTTAAAATTACATAGGCAATATTGGTCTCATTTGAAAGATCATGAAAAATAAAAAATGTTGGTATAAATTTTATAAAAATCGGATAAAAAATAAAAAGGTTATTACCATTTTTAAAAAAAAGAGAAATAAAGAATAAAGATCCGGTTCTTGCCAAATACGCTGCTTGCCAAAAACCGTATGTCGGTATACGGTGCTCACCGTATACTGGTCATACGGTATAACAACTGATTCTAGCGTGCAATGTCAACAACTCAATACGGAGTACGGCTGTGCTCTGCGCGCCTTCATGATTGCTTTGCCCACCCATTTTTGTCAAATCTGGACAAATTTGTCCTTAAATGTTGCTAGGCGCACCACATTACCAAGCATCTCATGTTTTTTAAATGGGCCGTGCTTCTTTGAAATAAAAATAGGCTCACCACCTAACAATTTGAACATTTATTCTCCTCCAATAACTTGATGCCATGTGGCTAATTTTCCTTTTTTTATAAAATGTTTTAACTTTTTCAATTTTGCTCCTATTTTTATAAAAATTATATCAAATTAAATAATTTTTTATGATCTTTCATTTGACACCAATATCATATATGTAAAAATTTAAAAAAAACATAGTCAATTAAAAAACACTGTCTAGTCTAATCTGATCTAATTCGATTGAATTTATCTGGATCGAAATCAATTCAATTAAAAACATTCTAAACATCATTCACATCATAAATCTAGTCATATAACATATATGGTTGTAATGCAGAATCAACATGGTGTCGCTCGAGTTTTAAACGGCGGGGCCTCCACCTTCGAAATTAGTCAAGCAAATAAAAAATGAAAATCTTTTGGTTTACTAAGATTAAAAATGTTACTTGTTGAGGTTTATTCCTTCAACCCTCAGGCCCAACACGTAAGCCCAAAGATTTCGAGTGGAGTGAGTGTACGAATATCTAGCCCAACAACTATCAGATGGATCAGGAAAACAGAGGAAATAGCAGGCAATGTAAATAGGTATTATTAACTTCGTAATAACTCCCCTAAGTACAATCTACTTGCTAAAAAGGCACGTCGGCCGTTCGTCTTACAAGGCAGTAGGAATGCCGCCAGTAAGAGTGCTAAAGCTAGGATGCTAAGAATAGAAAGTTGCCCACCCTTTACAATGAAATAAATGCTTCTATTTATACCCGCCAATGGGCAGGTGGCTACGCTGACGTGAAAGCCTGTGGACCGCTTGTGTCCCAACCACCAAATCTTCAGCATTAAATGCACTTCCCGCCAGAATCCAGGTTTCCCGCCAAAACAATGGGGACGTTCGTCCGCCTGGGAAGCGAGCTGGATCGCTCCAAGTGATCCTCAAGAGGTTTCGGCTGTTCGTCTCCTGGCCTTTGTGGATCCTCTCCATGTGGACTGGATTTCCTCGGATGACTACAGGCCTGCCATGGGGACGTTCGTCGTCATCCCCTGGTAGCCCGTGGTCCTGCTCCTTGTCCCTGCATGGACGTTCGTCGGGATGAGCCGCTGGGCCGGAACTCCTAACCCCAGACGTTCGTCCCTCCCCCAGGGATATGGGCCTGCGGGCTGGCCTTGTGGTCTGACTGGACGTACGTCTGATGAAGAAAAGGTTAGTGGGCCGGGCCTCGGCTTGGGCCCTTAACCCAACATTACTTATTCTATAATCCAATATAGAATTGCACAAAATTAAAAACAAAACATTTATGTTTTTGAATGAAAACGTATATATACGTGATCATCAAAATATTAATGAATATCGTATACTACAAACATAATGAAACACATAAAAAGAAGAACTGATATACAAATAGTGGGGCAGATGAATACCTCATAAGTCTAAAAATTAAGAGTACTATTTTTTAGATAATTTTTCAGATTCACCATCCATTATATAAGAAGATTGTAAATAGTTTATAAAAGCATTAATAATGAATTTCTAATATTTATATAGTTCTAACTCCCACTATGTTTGGAACAAAGAGGTGTGACACATCTTTTAAGAAAAAGTGGAATTGAGTGATTAGTATTGAATTGATAAAGTGCGGATAAAGTAAAAATGAATTGTAATCACTCAAATCTAACCAAATATGGTATGAACAAACTTAATGAGACGGGATGAAAATGCAAAACTGCACAAAATCACTTAATCAGGGGAGGCGTAGCTTGGTTAATACGTTGTGGTGCGGCAGATTTAACTAAGGACAAATGAAAAATGCAATAAGGCCCATTAAAATTAAAAATCAATATGGAGAGGCTTAGCTTGGTTATTAAGTTGTGGTGCGGCAGATTTGGCTTGGACATACTTGTCCAGATTTGATAAAAAATAGGTGCGCAAAGTAAAGTCGGAGGCGCGCCTAGCATCACCCTACGGAGTATCACACAAGACTTTCTGTACGTAACCAGTTAACTTTAGCTTTCACTTTAATGTTTAAAGTTCGAATAAAGATTTTCTATTGGATTGTTTTTGTAATTACTTTATATAAAATACACAAACTTGACATTTATCGGAAAAAAAACTCTGACATTCACCAGATTAGACCAGAGCAGTAAATTTCGGTCTAAAAGAAAACAACCTAATCCCATAATGAGAAAAAGCCTTAAAACTAAAAATATGAGAGAAGACATGCCTTTATTGATTCAAGAATAAATGTGTTGACTTACAATCTCCTCTTTCTAAATATCAAAATTAAATATTTTTTTTTAACTTGTCTGAGCAGCTTCAATCATGACTTTTTACTTATGTTTTCAAATTGCCAAAAAAGGTTATCATTAA